CAAGTTGTTCTCTAAAACAAAGGCAATTATTTATCTTCTTTATGAAGCTGTAAAACAAAAAAAGTTAGTATATTAGCATTATTGAACCATCTTTGAAATCTTAACATGAGGATTTCAAAGCAACATTCAACACAGCTATTATACTACCACAGGCAGTACACATCTAACCTTTTAGCAGTAAGCGCTCTCTAATAAATGAAGTGAAATGATAACCTTTTATTAGCTCCGTGGTATTAAGAACACCATTTTGAAGAGACAGACTTTCCAGTGGCAGTCAATTTTCTTTTAGTCCTTTGTGAGTAATTCTTTGATAATTTTCTAATACTGACATGCACTGGCCACACTAGGACTCTCCAGATGATGGTCTCCCTGATAAGGAACCCAAATGGCATATTATTTTGCCAATGGTTACCACAAAACAGGCCTTCACTTGGTGCGTCAGTGATGCCACAGTCCTCCACCTGAGGAAGACGCATACCGTCCTATAGGGTCAAACCAGGCCTATACTACGCAGCCCTTTCCCATTATAAGATGGGTCATATTGCGCATGAAAAAATAGACTTGTCCATGAGGGCTCCACCCCTTCCCAGGACTGCTAGGTTTACGGTGCGTGCACGAATCGTGTATGCGGCAGATGCACGCAAGGTTCAGTGTTTCCTGGAAGTGCCATCTTTTCTGACACACATGAACTTATAGAGATGCAGACACCAATAAGAAACATGCTTATTTGGTGCCTGCAGCCTGTTGCTGCACAGATCTGAGGACCACCTGGGAAGACGGCCATGTAGGAGGAGGCAGCTGCTGTCAGAGCAGTTCATACGGCCTCGCTCAGCTCCTCGCACACCCAAGCGCTCCTGAAACTGAGCTGGGGAGCAAGCAATGGGCTCTGGTGGCAGCACTTGCTACGTGATGAGAGAAGGACTTTGACAACAGAAAATGCTGGTGCCTGAGAGCGTGACTGCCAGCTCTTGGCTAGTGTTTCCATCTTGCAGCTCACTTTCAAGAGGCTTCTAGGAAAAGACTACCGAGAAGGAGCTGCGGACTGGATGAATTGTTCTGCACAGCTGTAGGCTTAACAGTCCCTCATAGACAGTCATGAAGTGCTAAAAGTCAAGAGATGTACTCAGCACATTTCTTTCAAGTCTAGTGAGAGGAAAACTAAGCTCTTTAAAGTTAGGAGTTGGCTGCAAGAATTATGAAAGATGTGTTACTGCAAGATGGAAGGTACTCCTATACTAAAAAGAGGAGGTTAGTTAAAAGCATGTTATAAGGTAGAGCTGCTCAGCCAGGAAAACATTGCCAGGAGAAAGAAATTTATGCTGCACTTCAAGAATGGACTGTTACTGAAATAAATGATGCGTTACGATGGAGCCTGTAAAGGATAAATGGCTGCCTATAACATATCGCTTAGGAGGATGTATTGTTGCAGGGCATTTTTCACCCTCAGCCAAATTTGTTCTATGATAATTTGTTATCTTATGCTCAAAGTGTACAGGAAAACATATTTACAGCAAGTTATTTTATGTAAATTGCATTTCACAGCAACCATTTTGCAGTCTATATCATGAAATGAACTGCACCTAATGTGCTAGTCTATTGCTGGTGGAAATAATTAGAAGTCTAATAAATATACCACAGTGTTTACAGTTTATATTCCTGTAAAACTGAATGCAACTTCCTCACTGGTCTTACAGAAGAAAGAGACAGAAACTGGAGTCAGTCCAATCTATTAGAAGACAGGCTCTATCTACAGTACACAGGCAACCCAACGCAGGGGAAGATGGTGTGTTCCCCTGTGAATATCACTGTCAGTACTAAAACATCTGTGCAGTGGCGGCAGCTAAGCCAGGCAGGCTCCATTGCATTTATTTCAGTTGGCTCACAGACAAAGGAGAAGCCTTTTGCTTATTTCTTCTGTGAACTCTGGAGCGCGATAAAAGAAGCAAATACAGTATTTCGTCTTTTTAGAAAAGCATAGAAAAGTCGTGCCACAAAGGCAGAACCCTAGGAGGCCCAGCAGTTCATTGTGCAGCCCCAAGGCAGGATCAGTTGTTTTTGTCTCCTTTCTAATGGATATTTGTTTTTAGGTTTTTATGCCACCTTCCAGGCAATATCTTCCATGTCTTTTCTGTTGTCATCATTATAAAACTGTTCCTCATAGGGCTGCCTGTTGCAGTCTAGTAACTTGCTTCCTGTCTATCGTGGACATTTATAAAAGAGTTTATTCATTTCCTGTTTTCAGCAGCCTTTTACATATTTGGAGGTTGTTATGTCCCCATCAGACTTCTCTTTGTGAGGCTACATAATACCAGTTCTTTTAATTTTCCTTCACAGAGCGTATTTTGTTGTCCTCCTCCAGACTTTTCTCAGCACTGGATATAGCCTTCCACATGGCCTTGCAAGTGCTAAATAGTGGGAAGGATTATTTTACGTGTCTCATGGACTGTACTGTGGTTTGTGTCCTCTGCATAGTATTTGCCCCTTTTGGAACAGTGAAATGTTTTGGAAGATGAAAACATTACAAATAAAGTATATGTTCAAAAAATGCCTGCTTCCTTCCCAGCATTGTGTCACACGAAACCCCACTAACTTCTTCACAAATGGAGATTTTTCCCCTCCCCCTTCCAAAGGGAGTGGCATGAAGTAGGACAGGGTTATAGTTTAGGGATTTTCCATATAAATGCTACTACAACAGAGAAAACTTTTGTCCGTGTAAACAGATCTGTGTCTGTATCTTTCTAACATCACAAGCAATTTGCTTCTGAGATTTTACTGTTGTTGGAACCAGAGTATTTCACATCGGGGCAAGCTACATAACAGCGGTGCAAGTTTTCCAAAATATTCCCATGTTCCTTCTCATACTATTTTAGACTTCAGTCTGAACCAGCTGCTTGCTGGCTTCTGTTGTTGCCGAGATCCCCCATGGGATGGTATATCCCTATTTTCTCATTCTAGTTCCTGAATCTTTGCAGATTTGTCCCCTAGTGGAAATTCCTCCCTGACTTTTTCAGGGATTGTCCAGGACACAGCTGTAATTTGAGATAAAAATTGGTCAGCTACCTTAAGCCTTCCAGGTTGTGCTTGTCCTCTACCTTACAATCCCTACTGCTTTTTCCTCTGCTGCTGCATAAGGGATAAAGGGGTCCAATTGCCTTGTAAAGGCCTCAGCCACTAAGGTAGTATAGGATCACGTGAGTCCTCTGGGATAAGGGGAGAAAGCCTGGCCTCATCATCTTATTAGATGCTCTAGTGAACTGCCCTTTTTCTTTAGGGAAAGGGTGGACACGGTCTTGTTTCCAGGAGGGGCTCCCAGGATGGGGGAGTCGGAAGGCCCCATCCCTGCCTCTGCAGAAGGCTCCAGCGCAGTCAAAGGCGAGAGCTGAAGTCGGCTGTTTCTCACAGCTGCTCCCAGGCTTGGGCTGAGATGACACACCTTGTACCTGCTCCGCATGCCCTTCCTGCCTGGCCTTTGCTGCAGCCCTGATTCGGGTAGCTTTAATACCAGTCGGAGGCGCTTGGAGACAGGTTGCTGGTTCCCCTCACATTTAACGACAATCAGCTCCGCCAGATTGTCCCTGAACATGTAACATCATACTTCTTTAAAAGCCCTTGAGGCTTTTCTGATTAAACTCAGTGCTGCCTCGTTGAGTAAAACTGTGTCTTTTTGTCTGCAATTACCCTTCTTGTAGATCACTTGCAATGATGGCATGAAAGTCCCTCTCTCAGGGACTTTGCAAACCACTTTTTCAAAGTATGATATAAACAACAGCAGCTGAAAGAAGGGAGCAGAGATGAATGACAGTATATCACATATCAGGATGTCAAAGTCAATGGGAAAGTGGAAGAGCTGCAAGTTGTTAAACAGATTCTTTGGCCTAGTACTTTCTCCAGGGTGAAATGCTAGCATTAGCGAACTCGCATTAAGGCAGCTGGAGTCAGGATCTCCTCTATAGTATTTCCCCAGTGGTATCTCCTTTGTCTTTTTGCTGTCATTATCGTTCCATGCCTTCAGTCTTTTACAGTAATTGCTTGAAAGCATGCAAAAGTAACTTAAGCAAATCTAATTTGTGAGGAAGAAATAAGAGAGGACTCTGTATTAGGAAGTACAAATGAGCAATTTCCAGTATATTGCATGCAGCCAGTCAGCTGAGCCTGCTGATTATTCACAGTACTTTTTGTAAAATAAAAATAGCTAATTTCACCTTCCTTTTTCATGACAGTGCAATATCAAGGAAGGGAACATGGCCTCGCACAGACACTCTATAATATTCATTCAATAACAGAGGACTACTGGAAAACTGCATTTTGCTAAGTAATAATGATATTTCCCAACCTGCTTTAGAAAAATGTGAGGAACTTAAACCCACAATTTCTTACACTGCATTTTTCGTTAAGAGGCTATTTACAAGCTTCTTCTACAGTTTGTCATGGATGCAGAGTTTCTGAA